AAGAAATTAGCCCTAGAAAGCCTGCCCGTGGGAGTTTTTGTCCCATTGTAAAAGCTGCAGGCGAGAGCAAGTAGGTTAGACGATAAGGGGTTTTAGACTAGTTTTTTAGGCTTTGAACTATTTAGGAGGAGTGGAGGAAAACCGTACTATCCATCCGCTCCTGGGCTGGGCACCCTTTCTCCTCCCCTTTTGAACGTCGCAAGCACCCGGCACAGCGAGATTACAAGAACAGAGAGAGAAGTTGTAGAAAACTTAAGCAATTGCTTGCATCAACCGGAACAATTATTATTTATTTTATGGGTGAGGGAAAACAGGGTGTGATTGTGGTTGAAATGTCTAACATGACAGCAAAGGGGTTAGTAGGGGGTAACCCCATAGAACAATTGCAGGCCAAGTTTAAGGATCTGGAAGCTCGCTTCAAAACTTGGCTCTCCAAGCAGACTTTGCCTGTGGAAGCTGCCGTCGTCACCGCCACAGGCGCCACCCAGGGCGCTCTCTCGGAGCTTTAATGGGTACCCTCACCAATGACATCTCTTCCTCAATTCCAAACCCTCCACCGGGGGCCCCCAATCTCAATCCTCAGGCCATGGCCTCCTTCAAGCAAGCCCAGGTACAGTTTCCAAGTTTTCTGATTTTACTGTTTTCCCACTGATTCTTTTGGATTCATTATTGCTGGCCTGTACAAGTCGGTTTTTTATTTGTGGGGAGTTCACTTTTTAGCTGATGAAACTCTCTTTTTTTTAATCTCCCCCCTCTCTCCGACCTCTTCTTCTGTTTTGAATTTGCGTGCTAATGGAAATCAAAGTTTTGTACCTGTGATTGCTTATCAGGAGAAATCATTTCCACATGTATCTCTAATTATGCTGTTTAAAATGTTGATTGTTCAATCAATAGGAGTTTGCTTTTTTTTTTTGACGAGTAAGCTGGTTTTGCGTTGGACTAAATGAAGATAGTGGAAAAAAGATGGTATTCTTTCAATGACTTTCTGAAGGAACGAAAGCTGCATATTTGGAATTCATATATCCTATAAGCATAATTGGCCTGTAGTAGTAACTGGTGCTTGCTCTGATTCATTCAAAAATCCTCGTGGAATGGCTTCTAGGAGCCAAATCAATTATAGGTGTTTTCCAGCTTAGGCAACTGAAAGTATGTTGGCATAGGTTTGCAACTTCAAAACCCCAAACCCAGGAAAACCAAGTGATTAAAGATAGAATTTTTGAAGTATTGAAAATGCCTAAAACATCTGTTTATGGGTCGCACGCCTAACTCTGGGGTTTGCTCACAGGCTCTTTCAGGTGGTCCATTGATACAAGCCCGCAACTTTGCTGTAATGACAGGGGTTAATGCTGGCATTTCCTGTGTCATGAAAAGATTGAGAGGGAAGGAAGATGTTGAGTCCAGGTAATTTCCAGTAACTATAATTATTGAAAGGATCCTTGGTGACCTTATTCTTGGAACTTCATCCAAGCTAGAGGGGCTCATAACTTATTGTGCTTAACTCAGGCTTTATGTCTTATAACTTTATGCCTGTGAGAAGCATGATAAAGGAGCAATAGAAATCGATTCGGTTAAAATGGGAAACAGACAATTCTACATTATGATGTATCTACTTGTTATTTCTACTCGTGATATCTGCTGCTAGAGCACCAATCTTTTTCCCCCTTTTCTTTTGCTTCTGACTTCTGAATGCATGCATGTTTGCTATGTTAACTCTGTATCCGAGATTCGGTCTATGCTGCAATCAGGCATGGATGTGTCCCGTAGTGTACCAGAATGATTAGGTTTATCCCTTTATTGAATTTGGCGTCATAAGTGGAATTATTTGGGAGTAAAATATGGCTTTGGTGGAAAATTAATTGCATGAAAGTAGTGCAGTTGGTAGAGCAATCAGTTCCGCCTGTTGGTAACTTTGCTCTGTTCTATCCATCTTTACAAGATTACTCTTGATGATAATCTATTTGGATTCCATAAACCTGGTGAATTGTTACTCCATTAGTTATTACAAAACAATGTTGGATTGCTTTAAAAGATTGGGCTTTTTTATCATCAAAGGAGAGCCAGCTCTTCTCATGCTTTCCGTGTCTCTTTTACTCTTTTTTCTTTTTTGGACATTATCTGTGCATAAGTATGTGTTGTGTCAGAATTCAAGCACCCAGTCAATTCACTAATATGTGCATTAACAATATAGTGCCAGTTGATGACTTTTATGTCCTCTAGTAAAACCTTTTTGGGCATGGGAGACCATTTAGGAGATTCTTGATGACATTTGTCCTATTTTAATACATTGCTGTGAAGAAGTCAGAATTGTCTGACTTCTACCCCTCTCCTGCCTTGTTCCTGGTATGTTAAGCTGATTAGTGGAATAGATTGGGACATGATCTCGTGATCATGGAAGACCCTTATGCTCTTGGGAAACTTCCACCTGGACTTGAAATCCCTTTTGATTGACACAATTCTGTTACCATGCTATCCACCTTTCCCTGTTTTTGTCCTCCTCATTTTCCTTGGTAGCAGATTTCCCTTCCATGATATGTTGAATGATATTATTTTTGATGTTGCAGTATGGTGGCTGCTTTCGGATCTGGTGCCATGTTCTCGTTAGTAATGAATGGGTGGACGAATCAAGCAGCCAATGCAGTTACATCAGGTCTCTTTTTTGCGCTTATCCAAGGTGGACTCTTCAAGGTAAAATAATATAGAAGATCAAGTAATTTGCTCCTTTGAACATGCTGCTGTACAACTTCATTCAAGATCAATTTATAGAACATCCACTTTGGGTGTTGAGACCTCTAAATTATGAGTTAAAGGATATTAATGTTTTAGCTTATAAGTTCAGGGTTTTCTCTTCCTATTAATACCTAATAAGACCTTACTAATTTTGGAGTACTGTTCCTACTCTTGTAGGGCTTCGATATTTCTGAAGTGATATTTAGTCTTTTGGAGTGCTTACTGAGCAATCCTATCTTTTATCTTTCTCACACTTCCTTCCTTTTTTTTGGCCCTTTGGGCGTGGAGTTAATGTGATTCACTTTCAGTGACCTTAAGAATGATTTTTACCTCTCACCTGTTCATGCAGCTAGGACAAAAGTTTTCAGCTCCACCAGCTGAAGATGTGTGCTATGTCAAGACGAGGTCCATGTTGTCAAACCTTGGTTTGCAAAACTATGAGAAGAATTTCAAGAAAGGGTTGTTAAATGACAGCACTTTGCCATTGCTCACTGATAGGCAAGTACTGATATGCATGCTTTCATGATGGTAAATCTTTTTTTCTGAACTTGAGCTGATGTTTTTCGTTTTTTAGTTTTAATTCGCCATTGTTTCTTTCTTTAGTGCTCTTAGGGACGTTCGAATTCCCCCTGGACCAAGGCTTCTGATTCTCGATCACATACACAGGTTTTTGCCATGGTCTATTCAAAGAGAGTAAGCCTGTACCGTGCAAACTCCACTGCATGAAAAATCTGAGTTAATTTCCTTATATGTAGGGATCCAGAGATAAGAGAGAAGCGAGCGAGCTGGAAATGAAGCTGGTCTGGTGAGTTAAATGCTCAGCGAAACATGCATCCTTTGATTCACTGTTAGTCCCACCTTTATTTATTTATATGTAAAAGAGAGAATGGTGGTTTTGGCCTAGTGCTATCTCAAATGATCACTGTTCCTGAACTAAAATTAGCTGATAAATACTTTTGGATGGCTAGAAAAGTTTCAAGTTTAAAATTGTGATTGTGGTGATATGCTTTTTTGATGCCTCAAGGGTTTTGATTTGATTCCATTCTGGGTCTCTAACAACGATGATGATGAATGGGATCCCGGGAATCAGTTGAAGATCATGGTTCGGCATTCCCCCCTCCTTTCCTTCCTTCCGTGTCCCCCTTCTTTGGAGAATACCTCCAGAAGACAGGTGGTTTTAGCGTTTCAGTAAGTATTATTGTGCTACTTTCTCCCTCGTGATGCAACGTTAGGTTGTTTGTTTGGAGCACGCCAGTCGTTTGAAAACAAATCTGTTTTGATTGTGCTGCTATCACTTTAATTAGTCTCGAGGCCTGTAGAGATAACGGTGGCAAGAGTTGTTAAAAATGAAAGAATTTTCAACTGGAGACGGTATGTGCCCCATAGGGTTTGAAATTTGTAGATTGCTATCAATTACTAATGAAAGTAAACGGCGAGACCTATGAATTCTGAACTAAAAGTTGTGCGTACTTCTCCTTTTTAAGTAGAAAGAACTTCCTTTTACCATTTCATTGTGCGTTTCTCGTTTGGAATTCCAGATCTAATGTTGGGCAGACCATCTTTCAGTAAAATAGGTGAATGGATGCGTTCGGCCGGTCCAGAACGGTTAGCTCCATTTGGTTGGCATCTAGATGATTTTTTTAATTCTCTGTCTCTCTCTCCATGTGCGGACGCTCTATTTCTGTTTCATGTTTTGTTGTTCCCTTGCGAATTAGGATCATATATAGGTTTTTTGGTTCCCCTTCGAATATTGCTGAACGGAGGAGTTGTTGTTTCGGGCCTTTTGACCTTTGAATTTTTTTTTTTCGATCACAACGATAATATTTATATAATCTACTCTAATTTAAGTGGAGGGAGGGAGAGAGAGCCGATGGGGCGAGATTTTTCCCACACTTAATAATTAAGTGACAGCCACACTTGAAAAAGAAGTGGGAAATCTGAGTCAGGAGTTGTTTCGAGTTCTTTGACCTTTGATTGGATGTGAACTTTTACTCGACAATAATAATGTATTATTATAGCATCTTACTTGTGGGTGTGGGTGAGCGTGTGGAGTACGCATGGATGATGTTGTTAGTTTTAGACTTTGATCCGGTCCTGGAACCCCGCGGCAAAAGCTGGTCAGCTGTGGAGGTGGATGAAAATGTCAAAGAGCTACCGGTGGAGGTGGAAAAAAGAAAAGTGGTGCCCTTGAAGGACTGGAACCTATCAACTCTACATGTTACAAGATAATAAATATGGAAATCATCCACCGAGACCTTGGAAGAACAGCAGGAGACTCACGTAACACCAAACTCCATAAATATATGGTATGGTGACAAATAATTGCCCTTGTATTTAAGAAAAATAATTTGATACAAAAAGTAAATAATACTGCAGCTGATATTAGCGCCGGCCGGTGTTTGCAATCGTGCCCGTCCCATCCTTCATTGTAAGCTTTCAACACCCCAGTAGAGGGGGTTGCGTCCATTCATTACAACGTAAAACACTAGGAGTACATGGCAGACATAACCAAAAACAGCGACACATCAATCCAAGCCAGCCCATCTCCGATTCATGGATCCAAAAGAACACACCTTAATCAACAAAAGCATCCAAAATCACATGCCCTGCAGCCGAACAAGTAGGCGGCGATCCACTATAAAAACTACTCACATTTCATATGCTACAACATTCACATTCACTAATTAACTGCTAGTAAATCCTGTCGCAAACGCAAAGAGGATGGGGAAATAATTTTTTTTTTTTTTTTTTTTTTAAACAAGGTTATAGTACTTGAGGAGTTGGGGCTACAGGGACAGCAATGGAAGCCCCCTGGAGAAGCTTCTGGGCCGCAGAAAGCTGATCCATCAAAGCCATCATGCTGGCTCTGTAGGAGCGCGCCTGGCCCACAGCCTCCGCCTCCAGTTCACCCAGTTGGGAGCAGAGCCGCTCCTCCGCCTCCTCCGCCACCCTCAGCCTTTCCCACGTTCTCTGCAATTCCTCCCTCATCCTTTTCTCCCTTTCCATGGCTTTCTGGAGTTCTTTCTCCAACTCCTCATTTCTCTTCTTCAAAATCTCCCCGTCCTCCCGCTCTACAACGTGTTCAGGCTGCTTTGTGCGGGCGAAGGCCGGCACCACCAGGGTTGGAGCCATTTTTGTCTAATCTCAAGAAGACAAACAAATTGAAGAAAGAAAAGAGAGAGAGAGAGAGAGCTTCCAAACTATGCTAGTAATTAGTGTATTTGCCAAGAGAAACTTGTTTGATTATTTGCCAACGTTTGCTCTTAATTTCTTGGCAGTGCAGAAGGCGTTGCAATATTTATAGGCCTGGACCCTGGACCCTGGAATATGGGGGAACGAGGTGTCTAGGTTCAATGTATCTGTCTCCCCACGGTCGTTCCTCGGATTATTTTTTGTTTCTACCGTGCCAGGCTTGGCTCGCATTTTTTGTTTCACTCATAAATTATTATCTTATTTCCGAAATTAAAAAAAAATTTTGGGGGACGTCATTTCCGAAAAGTTTCAAAGCGTGGAAGATTGATTAAATCCTAAAACTTGTTATCAGCCTCAACAGTATAATACTCCCGCCGTCCCATTAAAGTGTGCCATTTTTTATTTTGAAATGTCTCAAAACAATTGTCATGTTTAAAAAGTGAAATCATCTTTTATTTTCTTTTTTCAATGTAATCTTCTTTTTATTCATATGCATGTTATTATTTAAATTTTAAATCTAGAGAATGAAATTAAAAAAAGTATAAATATTATAATCAAAATATTATTTTTTTTAAATTAGGTTTTTAAAATATGACTAAATAAATGAGATGGAGGAGTAGCTTACTGTGGGTGAGTTTTTGAAAGTTTGTCTAAAATTTTATTGTAACTTATTATAGAAGTTTTAAAAAAATTTTGTAAAGTGTGTTTTTTTAATATTTTAAAATTTATAGTTTAAAAATTTTTTGAGATTACTATCTATAGTTAAAATTTTTAAAAAACTTATAGAAAACAAACTTTGCAAAACCAAACAAGCCTATATGACTCTCGACATCGCCTAACAAAGAGTGAGAGGAATTTACACGATTTCCTTGGAGTGGGCCCCAAATTCACATAATTTCGTGTAATATTTGTCAACTGTGTGTTCGCCTTACTTTGTCCATGACGTCATCACATACCTAAAGGTCTTGTGAGTTCATTTGCCCATGGTTTGTGGGCGGCTTTTATTATGGGAGAATTTCAGAAACCTCCCTTGAGGTTTCTTACTATTTCACTTAGTTCCCTTTATATTTTAAAAATTACATTTACCTCCCTTGATTTGACACTTTGGTAACCAAACTTTAAAATAGAGTAAAAAATTTAATGAATACCCTAAAATGCTCTTATCTTACAAAGTTCAATTTGTTCTTCTAAACAAAAAGAGTATCAAGTTTTCATGCTAATATTTGTTATTTAATAATCAACTATAACAATAAATCTTTTGCTATAATGGGGTATTTTCATAGTGTTTTACTGGGAATATAAATTATATTTAAGATAGAGAGTGCTATTTTGTTTCTTTTAAAGTTTTTGGACTTCTTTTTAAATGAAAATTTATGGACTAGTTTAATAATTGAACTATCATAATTTGGTAGTAATTTTGGGGCATTTGTTTATAATCATTGTTGACTTACCCTTGATTTTGATACCAAAAAAATTGGAGAATATTAAAAGTCATCAAAAAAATATTACTAGTTTAATGCAATTTGAATAGATATTAGGGACAACATTGATAATTCTTCTATACTTCTAATGAAATATAAGAGAAATGAATAAGAAGGAAAATGGTAAAAAAAAATATAAAATCCTCAATATTAAGGTTAGCATTGCATAAACATGGCAACAAAAGAGTTTTATTAAAAATAGTAAAGTTAGTATTGTCATTTTAAATGGACAAGGAAAGTACGTGTAATTTTTGAAACCTTAGAGAAGCCAAGTGAAATTATTAAAAACCTTAGAAGAGATTTCTAAAATTATCCCTTTTATTATTGTGTCAATAACAAGAAGGGATATATTTCTCACCTAGATACTCTATTTTATATCCTTTCTTTATAAGACGATGATTTATGGTCGGTCATTTAAAAAATTGCTGCCCCATAATCTAAGGAGCTTATATGATAGAGACCACTAAATTGAAATAAGAACTTAGCGGTAATCCTTTCAATTTTTTTTCCACATCATTTGCATACACTTACGTCTATCATAAAAGGCTTACTTGGCAAAGATCCTCCTAATCAACTAATGCTACTCTCTCCATATCACCCGTTTATTATTATTATTATTATAAAATTAATAAAATAAACTACTAAAATAGGGATGCTCTAAATTTGGATTCTTGTTGAATATTTAAATCAAATTAACTGGCTTTGCCGTGTTCTCTGAGTGCCATGCCCTAAGATTATGGATTCTCGTTGAATATTATTTGGGTTCTAATTTGATTCTTTATATTAAGGGTTGATCACGAATCGCCCTTGATTTCTCTCCGTTGGAATTAGTTTGTCAGACTATTCCTTTTAATCCACAATTGCTGCGGCGTCAGTATTAACAAAAAAAAAAAAAGGGAGGGGGCATAGATAATATCTTTCTAACCCAAACAAGAAAGAAAATATTATGGACGTTGAATCTTGCCTCCGGCCAAATTATTGTAGACCACTGCAGTATGGATGTTCTATACTTGGAAGCATTTGCGTGTGTTTCCGTTACTCGGAACTTTCAACGCAGTCGAAATGGTTATAGGCTTCCAAAGAAAATCATTTCGGGTGCTCATCCATCCCACATCGAAAGATTGTGAGGTGATTATTCTTGGGTTTAAGATCCTCGACCTCACCTCCAGTTACCAATTGACTGAATGGTGTTGATTTGTAAGCTCCATCTTATATTGTATTTTGCATCAGAATTTCGATTACCTCTGAATATTTTCTAATCTATCTAATTGTTCTCGTGTGATTTCGACTTGTTGGAAAAATAAAAAATATTTGGTGAGGTTGTGCTCGGGAGGGTTAGAGCCCAACCCACCAATTTGATAGTACGTATTTCTACTTCCCAATTTTAATTTTAAATAAATGATTAGGCGAGAGTATTTCAAAGATAAGGAGGATGAATTATGCTTAAAGCTTCATTATTAAGTTGATGAGCTTTGGATCGGAGGTTTACCAAGTAGTTTAATCAACTTATTATCTATTGATATTGGCCTGTTCTTTCTTTCTCTTTTTTTCCTTTTATATATATATAAATTTGCACAGAAATCACATATGCGGGATATCAAGTATCTAAAGAATTAACATAAAATCGGTACTAATTTTCCCCTGCTTGACTTTCCCGTCTCTCGTCTGAATTGGAAACACCCCAAGTCGTGTACTTCCAGAGCCGGAGAGGCGATTGCAATGAATCCTGCGTGACGCGTGGAATTTACTTTCAATCATTCGCACGTAGGAGTTGAAAGAAAGATGGAATTACAGGCCGACGGTGGTAATCTTATCTCAAAGCATTTCTTGACCTTACGACGAGAAGAAGAGTCGTTTGACTTTTGCTCCAGGGCGGTGGTGACGTGGACAGTGGCGCGACCAGTTGCCGGATATTATGGCTTTGAATGGATTGCTAATTTTTACAAAAAAAAAATTTCGCTTTGATGATAAATATATTTTTTAATCTATCATTTTATATTTTTAATTAATTTTTTATTTTATATATATTATATTATAAAAAATATTATTATAATTATTTCAAATAATACCCTATCAATGCAAAGCCGTAATTAAAGTAGTATTATTAAATTAGTATTATCCCTACTCACAATACCTGATCAATGATACACATATTATGAAAGTAGTAATATTTACAGAACAAAGCGGTGGAGGGGAAATTACGTCTAATCTAAGGAAACACATTGTCCAATCCCATCTGGGGTTCGCATCAGCCTAAATTTAGAAAAACCAACTACTAAGTTAGTTAGTCAGTTAGGCGTTAAAATATCTTGAAGAGAATATTCGAATTAAATTCCCCGCATTCACGTGCCCATGTCATTTTCAACTCCTCGTGCACTGTTATGACATCAGTATTATTGCGGATAGCTGTGTGTTTGGATTGAAAAATTGCTGCGTATTTTTTAATCACCTCTTTTTTCTTACATATATTAAATTATTATAATAAATTTTTTATAAAAAATTCAGAAAAATGCAATCTAAACAAAGCAAGCAACCCAAAAAATAATATTCCATCCGTCCCATTTTGATAGTTTTTTTTTTCATTTGAGACCCAAATTGTAGTCCACTTTTCAATTGAAAACTATAATTATTTTTTATTTTATCTAAAATATCCTTATTCAATGTAGATTGTTATTAGTATAAACTATCTTATTTAATATATATTGTTAACTAATCCCATATAATACATTTAAAATTAATGTGAAATAATGTAAAATAAAAATTGATTATTTTTTTACCGTCAATTTAAGTTCCCATAAACTATCAATTTAAGTTTCCATGAATAATTAATATAAAATTGTATTCTATTTAATGTAAGGGTATTTTAAAAAAATAGTAACGTAAATTTATTTTTTAATAAAGTTAACTATATTTATCTAAAAATGTGTGAAAGAAAAATTAGAACTATCAAAATGGGACAGAGGGAGTAATAAAAGCTCAAAACGATGTACAAGATGAAATCTGAACCTTACAATTTTTTTGCCAAATCTTGGGCATGAACGACCAGGAACGGTTACCGTTCATGCCCCTCTTCCCATCCAAATGCACAACTATTCATCTCTTGCCAGAAATGGTCGATCATACATGCCAAGTTGCAATGAGATTTCCCTACAAGTCCTTCCTCATAATCTTTGATGGCCCTTTTTTTTTTCCAAAAAATGGTTAATTTCATCCTCAAAAAAAATTTTTTGGTACTGATTTAGTCCGTAACTTTTATTTTTAGTCATTTGATACATGAACTTATTTTGAAGTTCTAATTAATGACTTGCATGATGGTAACATTGCCTAAAATCGATTTGACTCATAATTGACTAATTAAATGGGGGTATTATGCGAACGTCACTCACGGGATTGTAATATAACAAGTAAATTGTGTAAAAAAAAATTACTAAATAAAAGTTTTTAATTGTGTAAAAAATCACTGAAAAAACTTTTTTAAAAGTTTAACCTTGTAGTTTTTTACACAATTTACTTGATTTATCATAGATTTGTGAGTAATATTTCCAAAATACCTCTACTTACCTACTAACTTAAGAGTCAAATTGATTTTAGGTAGTGGCACCGCCACAAA